TCCGCGGGTAGTTTTTGACGGTCTAGTACCGTGTGATAACCATTCCCAGTAGGTGTCGGGTATGGCTCGTTTACTGTCACGTTGGGAATATCCACTGGAGAGAGGATAATATTGCAGCAATTTCTGGGCTGTTTTCTGTCGGTACAGATCATACATTGCACATAGATATCAGTTGAGAGGAGGATTTACATTGATTCGAAATTGCACTTTCAATGAACTTTTATTTGTGCGTTATTCTCATGGTAACAACACAAACATCTGTAGTTATGAACATTCAATTACATGTTGAACTAGATGTGAATAATTTCACATCCTTTATCAGAAATGTGTTTTGCTAGTGTTATACACACAAGTAATTGCTTCTTTTCGAAAAATAACAAGGATATGTAGATAATGCGAAAGTTCCATTTATTAAAAATTGTATAAAATTTCCCTACTCTTTCTGTGTACTTAAAATTATTTGAAGAGTTTTGATACATACCGTGGATGTAATTGATTTCTATCTGAATTGATAGTTAACACATTGCGTTTCGTCTTCTGCATGGCGATTTGAAGGGGCAATTGTATTTTGTTTGCAAGTGCAGTTTGAGATGTGTGGCAAATTGAGACACTCTGTAATTCATGACTAGATCTTGCCAAACTGTTTGTGGGTGGAGAGTGTGTATATGAAAAATGGTTCTCAAATTACTCAAATGTTAAGAGCGGACATTCATGAAAAGCATTCAATGTATAATTAGATAATGTATTAATTTCAGTTACACAAAATATGTGATGTGATTAGATCATAAGTTCTATGAATTGGCAACTATATTTGCACACTATTGGCTCTCTCACTTATTATCTAAGCTACTTAAATAGCAGTAGCTAAGCCTGCCCACTCTTTAATGGTTATATTTACTGGTTGGTTTAGGATAAGATAAGATGCAAAATGGTAGGAAGGCCAGAAAATAAATTGTAGTCTATTAGGAAAAGTGAGTCTTATTTATTATCTCAGCCATAATATTATTTACAAAAGTAGTCAATCATCATTAAGCACGTATACAAAATTGATTAAACTAATACATATTATTTAAAGACTGTCTACTGAAAGCTATAAAACCGAAATCTAATTTCCTGGTAATGTAAGGCAGCCGCTTCGCGTCCAATTCGAAACGAGTGGTTAGTCATGTGACTCGTCGCCTACTCGACTCGTGTCAGCGTTAAGCACTCGCTTCGAACTCGACTGCTAGAGGCGACCCATCGGAGGCGAGGACAAGCGTATAGTGATAAAATTATAATTAATCATATTAAATTATAATCATTCAAAAAAAGCACAATCACACAATCACGACTCACTCTGTATAAGTTATGGTCGTCCTCGACTCCTTAAGCTATTACCATGTGTTGGAATGACAGAGGACTTGCTACTGGGACAGCCACGCTACCGCTTAGGTGGGGTGCCGTCCTGATGGTCTCTCTTTCTCTACACATTATCATGCAGATAATTTTATGAAGCTGCAGCAGACCCTCCAGTAACATTTGTGGAGCGCTTGCCGGACAAATATTTGTCACAAATGTTCTTTTCCCTACGATTGAAAAAGCTGTAGGATTCGTGGCGTGGCTTCGTGACCTGAATGCTGAAAGCTAGTCAACAGCCGTTCTTTTCGTAAGCACCCACTTTGAAATTACTACTCGTCAAGTGAAGCCTGATAGAACAAGTGTTTGTCGTAGTCGTTGGCGTCAAAGAAAGAGAAAGTGAATCTTAAAAGTATTTGTGTGGCCGTTCGCGGTTACGCTCTCTTCGTCCTTTGAACTGAGTGACTCTGTTAGCCGGGCCAGACGCCGAACAAAAATGGTTTCGGCCGCCTTCGTTGAGTGGTGAAGTAGTTTTAGCTCCTTTTAAGCTCCCTTACCTCTAGCCCATCACCCGTTTTTCCCAGAAGTGTAGCGTGAGTGTTGGCATATTTACATGTTAGTGGTAGTTCGCGATGGATTGATCTAATAGGCTTTAGTTTCTCACAGATCTAGGAATGCAATTACGAAGGACTTTGAAAGTTGTTTAGTAAATATCAAGCGCAATAGACTATCAGTTACACTTCATAATAATTAAAACCCAAATCCCTCTCATGACCACGTAAGTCTGGAACCATAGTCCATTACAATTTCTACGATATCCTGCCTCTTGAGCGAAGTTCCCTTCCGCAGGGACAGGAGGATCTCTTGAAGCAAACCCCTGCCCCTCTCGCACTCGACGAGACCCTGAAACCCTCTGCGCTGTAGAGCCATGAACAGTATGATTCCGGACTTCTGACCCTCCGGGAGGCTCCGTCGGCATCGCCCGCGTCCATTGCTCTGGGAACGGGCGGATGCGCCAAGAGACGCCGGGCGGCGGCGGCGGCGGCGGCGGCGGGCGAAGAGAGTGGCTTACGCTGCGGGGCGCTGCGACTCCGCCGCCGACAGCGCTCTCGAGGCCCTGCTTCAGCACGAGCGCGCTGCTGCGTGGCGCCCAGAGCCGCCTCCGCCTCCGCCGCCGCCGTCGCTGGCCGGGGCCCCGCCCCCTCCCCCTCTCGCGCTGTAACGAACCTTACGGATCCATATAATGCGTTGACGTTGTGCTCCACAATTCCGTACTTAACCCGCGCCTCAAATATTTACTTAAAAAGCTTTTAGTGTGGAATTCTCTCTCTCTGTCCCGGCGTGAGCAATCGCTCAACCGCAGGCTCTCCCTTCCAGTTTCCCGGTCGAAGCGTCTGCGTTTGGCTGGATTGCCCTCCAGGCACGGCCACACCTCAGGGAGAAGAAAGCACTGATTTCGATTCCTTTTGCTGCCGGAACGAACGGCACTTTTGCCGCGCGTGTGAACGTTTTGAAATTTAAATGAAAAGTTTCGGGGATTGGAGAGAGCAGTTTTCTTTGTTCTTTTTCGCCATTCTGTGTGCGTAATTTCCACTCGGAATATCGATATCGTTTTTCTTCTCTTTAGAGTTTCATTTGTCTTTTGTCGTATTAGAAAGTCAAAAGGTCACGCTGGGCGTGGAATTATGCTTCTTGTTGCGCGCGCGTGCGCGTTCACCGAAGCAACGCGTAGCGTTAAAAAACGGAGGGTTTAGTCCCAACAAGCTAAAGCAGGAGTTACAAACCTACATAGAAAACGTTTGCTGTCATAACCATCCTGATTAAAAACATCTGTTATGAAGATGAGCAGAATAGTAGTCCGTCGAAAGGTCGAGCGGACCCCTCGGCTGGGCTTACAGTGAAGGCTTCCACTGACGTGCTGGCTAAATAGAAAAAAAAAAGTTCGTCGCGCGGTGAGCGCGTGCGGCGGCGTGAAATACATCGGTGGATCGGCCAGCCGGTCCGGCGGAGCCGCCGACAAGCCAGCCACACACGCCGCCCCGCGCGTCTGCGACTCGGGCTGCAGCCGCACGCAGTGGAGGCGCACTCTCGTTCACACACGTCCTCGCCCGTCCCGCCGGCTGGCGACACCCGCGGGGCGCCTCAGAAGCGGCGGCCGTAGCCCGCGTCGTACAGCTTGCACAGGCTGTCGGCGCGCGCCACGTTGAGCGCGCTGGGCACGCTCACGCTCACCGACATGGCGTCGTTGTGGTGCTTCATGAGCTGGCGGCGGCGCTGCCACACGAAGGTCCAGGCGGCGATGACGGCCAGCTGCAGCGCCAGGAAGACGGTGCCGGCCACGATGATGCCCGCGGCGTTGACGCAGAAGCCCGCCGCTGCCGCGCCGCCCGGCAGCTCCGTCGCCACGAAGACGGCGCTGTTGTCGTGCGTGGCGTTGGCCGTGCGCGCGCCGGGCCGCTCGAAGCCGAACTTGTCGGTGATCTTGATGGACTGCACGAGCAGCATGTCGTCGCGCGGGGAGCTCGAAGCGGCGGAGGTGGCGCGGCGGCGGCGGCGCTTGCCGAACGAGGTGACGGAGCGGAACTCGCCCGTCGAGTCCTCCTGGTCGCACTGCACGGGCTCGCAGCTGGGCATGCACGGGGTGACGAGAGCGCGGAACTGCACCACCTCCGACGACGGGAACTTGAAGGCGTCGAAGTGCGACAGCAGCATCTGCAACGAAAGGTTTTGGATAATGAACTATTGCGAGAATTCATATAGCGTTTTCATATTTGGGAAGGGTTGTAACGGAATGACAACCTTGTTACATTTTAGGATACTCAAAAGGTAATGGAATATCGTGTAGCTTTTAATTTAGCATTTAATTAGCACAAAAAGTCATCATCATTTAGTAAGACTATTTGAATGGGGGGGGGGAGAGGGTTGAACTTATTTAGTACTTTTTCGATAATGTAATTGAATGACTGAAAGGTACTCCTAACAATATTAGAAAAAATCCTATTAAAGTTATACTAATTGGATATACTCGTTTATGAACCTTTTCCATCACCACTTTTCAACAAACATCATTAGAGAGTCGTGTTGTATCTTGACAGGTATGCACAAATTAAACGTGTATATTGAATAGAGGCAGTAGGTCTGAAACCCATTACCATACGGTAATTTCATGCTCGGTAATTTTTTGTACAGACGTAATATATTTCATTGAAATACTGCCTCTTATTACCATGTAGTTGATGTTACAATTTTATCTTTCAAAATGCTTCTCCAAGATTTCAATTGAATTGCTACTCGCATTTGATTTGGCTACGTTTATGCCGACAGTTTGTAGTCATTACAGTCATGTGGAAAATTTACTCCCTGTGAAGAAAATTCAAAAGAAACGACATTGTAAACTAGGGTATTGTTAAATTTCTTTTCCTCGCAACAGAACACAGACGACGACTATTTCAACACGGTCCAGTACTACATGCAGACGTAAGAACTCCGCAATCTTCTGTGCAAAATATGAGAGCATTTCCTCTGTGTTGTACGTCAGTGATTTATGCCCCAAGAGTTCTACTCATGAATCCTGATGATTTACGAGTATTTCCGGGTGTTTAAGCATTGTGAGGGAAAGGAATTCAGCCCCCGTTACTTTATGACTTAATAAAATGGTCGAGCAAAGAACAGAATATTCATGATATTTCGAATTAAATATGTTATTTCGCTCATCTGACTCGCAGAAGACCGTTATCACCTTCTCCCCCAGCGACGTTACTTGTGTTGCTGCTGTAATGAAAAGTCCGTTTTCACTCTGCCAAGTTCATGGCAACAGTATATGCGTAGTCATCCTTCCTTGTACTTTGCGAGTGCAAGGCAACGTCTATGATGATTATTCAGTGGGAGAGAGAGAACTTCGTGCACCGTACAATAATAACGGTAGCTGCATGTTTTACCCTTTCTTTATCACGTCGAGAAGAGTTGAAATTCGTGAAACTCAAATCCATTTTCTTTTCCGTTCGAGAGATTCTTGTTTATGAGAAGGATAAAGAGAGACAACTTCTTGTTAGGCAACCCTTTGACGCGAATTGTGGAATTCCGAAGTGTTGTCCTAACTTCTTAATGTCCAGTGTAATTCACAGATTTCATGATACGCCTTGTACATGTAAAGTCCTATCTTTTATATTCCGAGAGTTTTTACCGCATTATAGTGTGTACTTACGTACTTAACTCTGCACATACAGCGTGATCATGTATTTATGCCGGGTAGTTGACTGCCTACGGCGCTGGCTGACGGACGGACGGGCAGGCCGGCGGGCGGGTTGCGCTTGTGCGGAAAATACGCGCGACAGAGAGGAACGACGCTCAATAAAATCAACAAACCGGCGCTCGGGAGTGCTCATCCGACGGGCGCGGCCCGTCATTTCGCCTCGTTTAAAACAAGCCACGCGCTCGGGTGTGCAAATGCGGGCGGGCGGGCCGGCCGGGCAATTTGACCGGTTAGCGTCGCGAAACAGTTCGCACTTTTCTGGTGGTGGCGGGGGCGGAGGAGGCGGCGTTGGCGGTGGCGGGCGGCGCGTTCCACATGGGCGAGCGCCCGTGACAAGCGCAGAGCTGACTGGGGAGCGAGCGACGGGGCGAGGCAGTGGAGCAGGCGTCGGCTGAAGCAAGGAGAGCGACGAAGAAATGGGGAAGTGGACAGAAGCGACGACATCCACGGAACCGATCAACCGAATAGAAAGACCTGGTGTAATTAAATCAGCTTTAGAAATAATAAGGGAACGAGAAAAATTACTGAGACCGGAGTGAGAAGTGAACGTCGCCGCTGCTTGGGATTAATAAGAAAAGAATATAGTGTTGACTTCATTAGAAATATTCTAGGTCGGCCACGGTTGAGAATGTAATTACTACTGATACGTCTTGTGTATCTCTCCCCTCTTCGCAGAGCTGTGTGTGGTTACGTACTGTCTACGAATGTGAACACAGGGATGCATGACGTTTTACATAACTTGAGCGGCTTCAGGTGGACTGACATTCATGAGCAGCAATCAGGGTCTGCTGAGAATGAATTATGAGAACGAACGTAAGACACGATCAGGGCTGAACGAAGAAGAATGAGAGAGCTTGATGAAAAGCGAGCAGAGGTGGCGACAGGTGTGAAGTAGCAGAGAGGCGTAGGCGGTAAACGGAAGGCGACGTGAGCGCAGCCGCGGAACAGGAGATTGCTGGCGACACGGCAAGGTTTGAGCATTGTGGTTGTCAACGACATTGCGCCGGCGTTGCTTGCGACAGCCCGCCGAGACGTGTGTGTTGCTCGGCATAGCCACGACGCCTTTCGGCGTCCAGCTGCCCACGTCACGACCGCTTCCGGTAGTCGCCTCCTGCAGGCGGAGCGCGCGGTCGCCGCCGCGTTTGTTCCGCGCGGTTTCCGCCCGCCGCCGGGCTTCGTCAGTGGCACACCGCGCCGCCATCCACCCTCTCTGCCTTCGCTAATTAGTGTGTATGAATTGTCTGTAAACGAGAAAAATTCCGTATACGACTAGCCCTGGTTTCTGTTGCATCCTTTGGTGCCCCGGCGCTACCCTTGGTCATCTCTTTGCCCTCTCCACCCCAAGGTCCTCTTCGATTTCTATTGCTCCTTCTCCGCCCCTTATGTCCTTCTGCTTTGTGACGTCGGTCTCAGATATCTCTACCATATTCGTCTTCAACCATCTTCCCCTCTCTACCATCTATCTCTGATCTGCAACCTCTGTCTTTCCGACATTATGCTCTGCCCTCCCTCCCCTGCCTGTTCATCAACTCTTCCGTCCTCCACATCTTGTGTTCCGCTGTCTATGCCTTACGCATCCTCTCTAGTCGCCTCGTCTACTTTGCATAGCCGCATACCGACAGTCGCCCCGCCTGCGAGCTCCTCTGTGACCCGTTCGCGCGACCCGTTCGTGTCCGCGCGGGGGCAACGCCTTTCCGCGGCCTCGACCGAGTGCGAGTGCGACCGCGGCGCGCGTGGGTTGGGTGCTGGGCAGGGGCTGCCTGAAGAAGTGCCGGAGACGTGACAGCGCTAATGGACGGACCAGGGCGTTCCTATGACGTATGCGATGATGTTGAAGATTTGGGTAATAAGGTACTTTGGGTCATTTTGCTGTATTAAGGCAGTCTCTTGGTAGAGGTATTACAAGTTTCCCGTTGCTTTTCTGTATTCCAGCGGAATGTTTTTTCAGAATGCTATATCTCACTTATACCTGTGCATTTCTGCAATCAACTGCTTATATCGTAGGTGTATATATTTATACAACAGAAATATATCGAATATGTATGTAGTCATAATTCAATTAACTTTAAATGTAAAAAATGGTTAGAGATAATAAGAATGTTGTAAATTCATTGTGCGTTCTCATTTACAGATAAGTAAAATTGTATTCAGATTAATGTTTTCAATATTGTACATTTTAGTTTTTCTGTGTTTGAAACATTACCAAAAAGACGCTGTAAAATTCTTCTAAATTTATACAATCACCTTTTCTCGAATAACAGAATCATTACCAAAGTGTAATCTTTTCCTCCGTCACTCTCACCTCTATCACCATCGTATAGAAAGAATACGTAAGATGGTAATTAATCTTTTTAGCTAGTCAAAGATTACTACAACGCTTAATTTTGTGATTCTTGAGTTTGCAAAAACCAGACTGATGTTTGTAAACTTTGTGGCTGTATGTAATTATCTTCTTCCTGCGTTCAGAGAGCTCTGTCAATTAAGTGCGCGCGCGTTTCCTAAAGACCAGGTGTGTTGGTCTCCTTCAAAATGTTCGATTTTTTCATTAACTTCATGAGGTGTCTCGGATCTCTAAAATATACAGTAACATTTTTTAGGTTATTCTGGTGAGTAATTTCATACTTAATTGGGTATTTACAGAAAACGGGTATGAAGTTAATAGAACGGTTTTAATAAAAGGTGATTCCCTCTATGGTTGAATCCGTTTGGCAGCGTCTTCAAAAGTGCTGCGTTGTAGATCGCGTAATGATATAATGAGTGTTTGCTCGGAGGTACAAATGGACAAAATGCTCCCTTTTTCATTTGTAACTTGAGTAGTAATTTTCAGTTTGAGCATGTCCAAAGAACAAGCGTGTAAAAGGTATATTTTCATGGAGACTGATCGGCCATGTACTTACATACGTCACGCAGAACAAACATTGCGTTATGACTTGTATCACGGGATGTTGTCGAGGTGAAATTCGCGCCGCCTCATCAAGAAAGTGTTAAGAAGTCATTTATAAAAGTACCTTCAATAAAACGAAATGTGCATGGTATTTCACGCTGCCTACAGGAGAAATGGCCATTAAGAATACAATCTTACAGCTACTTGAATTGGTAATGAAAAAAAATTGTTCAGTACGTGGCTTTAGTTCTCATCAGGAAGAGTTTTAAATCGCGGGAATATTTTAGATGTTAATTCGGTGTTTTACATAACCTGCTAAACGGGCCCCCGTTGCTTCGCCCGCGGAAGTCGCATGACCGCCCGGTCACGTTCGTGATGCTGTAAGTAGTGAACTTGCACTCTGCGAGGTCTTTTCATGTGTATTTTCTGAAGGGGAATAGCTCACGCAATGTAGAGACGAGTTACATAATCAAATATTGCGAGGAATTTCGGAATAACTAAAACTAAAATATTTGTATTTTCTAGTTAACTAGCACTAGAACGCAAAAGTAAAGTTTGTTGTTCTACCTGCCTTTAGTCGCAACGATAGTCGTAATTTATTTTGGCTCTGGCAAACCGTGCCTTCTGTTACACGTCTCTCTATTTTCTTTCAACTATCCTGATGACCTTGGCAAGAACATCTAGTTTTCTTATCTGAGTATTAAATTTCCTTCTCCCTCCCCGTTCTCTCCTCCCTCTCTGTCTCTCTTTGCGTTGTTTCTGCTTTCAACAGAGCGTGCTCAAGTCTGATTTATTGCTTCTCATCCCGCACATGCGATATTATCGAACAAGAACCCGCAACTGTGGCATGTGTGTTTAGACGGCAGTACAAATAACAGTGCGCTTTTTTCCGCTTCCGATCGTATCGTTTCTCGTGGTTGTTTCAGAGACACACCCGTAGTGCACTCGGTTTCTCTCAGAGACTAAATAACAATATTCAACAAGTTGTAAAGAGAGCTCGTTGCACTTGCTTCCTGATACGTTCGTCATTTCGTAATTGAAGCGAGAATAAAAAGAGGCGCGCTTCGGATGCCGCGATATATTAAATTGGCATGACGCTCGCTGTACGTGCTTTGTTTTGCGATGTGCCTCTCGGAATACCGATGCTCCGCGACGAAAGCGTCGGCCTTCTTATGGTGCCTGTGAGGTGGGGGTTTTACGGGTTAAATTGGTCGTGACGATCTGGCGGAGGGGCAACGCGGGCTCATACTCACCTTGCCGGAGTCGACCGACTTGAAGATGGGGCCCATGATGAAGTGGTCGGTGGGGCAGCCGTTGGAGTCGATAAGCACGATCTCGCTGGAGTCGACGCCGTCCATGGCGACGAGCTCGCGCACGAAGATCTCGTAGGGGCTGTTCTTGTCGAGGATCTCGAAGCGCAGCGCCAGCGGGTCGCCGACCTCGGCGGACGGCAGCAGGTCGCTGCCGTAGCGGTCGGTGATCTTCATGGCGACGTTGGGCGAGTCCACGATCACCTCCTCGGACAGCGCGGGCCGCACGTCGCCGTGCACGCCCAGGTCCACCTCGTTGGACACGCTCTTGTTGGTGAGGTCGTACTGGCAGGTGACGGCCAAGCCCAAGTCGGAGCTGGTGACGATGGTGTCGTGGTGCTGGATGACGACGTCGTTGAGGTAGCGGCCCAGCCCCTGCTGGCGCACGTTGCACTCCACGTCGTCGTAGCCCATGCGCAGGTCGAACTCCAGGCTGCTGCGCACGTCGTTCACGCACGAGTTGGGGCTGCCCTTGGCGTAGATCTTGCCGTTGAACAGCTTGCTCGTCTTGATGCGCGCCACCATGCCGCCCGACTGGCAGTCGATCGTCACGTTGTAGCAGGAGCTCAGCTCGTAGGTGGACGCTTCGGGCACGTCGAGGTACGGCTCCTAGGGCACACGATAGCAGCCACGAATGAAGCACTAGTATTTCAAATGCACAAACAGTATTCGCATAAATATAATCAAAATGCACTTCAATAAAAACGTTGGGTACAGAAATTGCTAATAAATAAAAACAAAATCACAAATGCAGATGAAAGTGGATGACTCGATCGTGAAAAGATGTAACAAGTGAGATCATGAATACACACAACTAATAGAGGATGAAAGGATGATGTAAAAATGTATGTTTATAAACGTACCCATTTAGTATAAACGTGTTTGTTCTAATAGTATTCTATCATTCAAACAGTGTTAAGTGTTAAATACTACCAATAAATATTTTATATAACTAAGAGAGGGTAACGACGTAATACTGACATAATGTTTGTAAAGCTTTTTTGTTTAAATTAATATATTGAGTCTTGTAAATCGCTTTATTAATTTTCTCGTTGAATGCATATATATCAAAACCTATCACAATGAATAGCAAAATATGTTTTACCTCGAAATCGTCTGATCATTTTCTTCCAGGAAAATATGTGCGCTTGGACATATTATGTTTGTAGAATGTACGAAGCATAAATTGAGGAATGTTTCTAAATAACAAAGCCATCTCCCATAATTAGTTTCTTGCAATTGGTTGCATGCGGCCCGGCTAATGTGCTGGCCTTGACAATCAACCTTGCTCCACCAGGGCTACGGAATGCCGAACCCCTCCCCGCTGACGGTGAAGAGATGGATGAAGTTCGTTTAATGGCTCAGCGCGTTCACTTCCGCCGCGGAATGAAATTGCAAGTAACCTCATTATATGGCAACGCGAAACAGGAGTGGACAGCGTCCTGAGTGCCCGTGTTCTCTGGAGCACCGTTGGCGGTGGCACTTTGCAATTTGCATTTCCGTTGCAGTCAAATACCGGTTCACTCTCATGGCAAACAATACTACATTAGTGTTCATTGTAGTGACAAAACCTTTTGAGCTTTCATTTATGTTTTCAGCGTCGGTTCGTGTTAATTTCTCTTAAGACATTTTTTTTAAAAAAAAGTACTTTCCAACAACAGATGGCGTGTTAGGCAATTTCCGTGTGGCGTTTATACAGTTTTTATTTCTCTTCGCTCAACTGCGGCTCAAACGAGCGCATAGGAGACTGGTAACGGAAATGCCTGAAACTCATTTCTTGCTCTACTCATTTACTGGTCTTCTTTGTTTCGTCTAGCTCATATTCCATTACTCCGTTCGGAGCTGATATTCCATTGTATATTTCCGCGTATTGAGGAGACGAATGGGATTTGAACAACGGGACCGCCCTCGCCGCTTGTCCTCTTCCGCGTGGGTCTCGGATTACTCGGAGCGCTAGACTGCTTGCGCAGCGCCCTGCGGAGGCCGGTGGAGGTCGTTGCCGGCGGCGGTGGCGGAGGCTCAGGACGGAAGAGGAGGCCGAGTTCGACACGCGGGACTGTACAATACAATCGGCTGTTGACTGGGGTTCGCATACTTGTAGGTGGCAGCGGCAGGGCAAGTGATGAATGGTGCTGAGAGGAAAAGTGACTGTGAAGGAAATGACACCGGGGGAAAATGTAACAGAAAGGACAACGGCAGGGGCAGTGACGAGAGGGAGGGCAACGGAACGGAAGAAGTGGCTGCTGTTCAAGCGGCGGTGATTCGGGCGGCGGCGAAGGCAACGCAGGAGTTAATGGTTTTTCGTATTGCTTCTTGGCTACTCACGCCCGCCCTGCGGCGGGGCCCATCGAGCGAGGAATGTGCGTGCGGCGTCGCGTTCGCTTCCCGCGCCCCGGTGGTCGTAATCGCTGCCGCGAGCGGCGCGCCGCGCCGCGCCGCGGCCCGGGCGGCCGCCCCGTCCGTAACGGCACCGGCTTCGCGTCCCGGCGGCGGCAGCGACGTGCTGCATTGTGCCCGGCGCGCCATGCGCGACGCTGCCCGGCGCGAGGAAGTTTCTTGCGCGCGCGGAATGCGGCCGGGGCGACGTTAATCTTCACGGCGATTATGGCTGAAGAGGTCGAAAGATGGCGGTTTTTCCCTGAGCTCGAGGTTTATCCGGTAGCGCCCTTGAAGCACTTTTGCACGATAAACTGCTGGCTTTGATTGAACATTGGTGTTTTGCGAAAATTGATCGTGAGAATTTCTCAAGTGATGGGTTATTCTCAGACCCAGTGTTTTACGTTCCTGCAGAGATTTTACTGGTTTTAATATTAGCATATTATCTCTTTTATACGGATTATAGTGATTGGTTTCAACAAAGTAATATTTTATAGAACACATTCTGCATAAAATATATCGTTAGTTCGGGGAAAGAACTTTAATGTAACACTAAAATCGTAATGAGAAAAATGAAGTGCATTGTTGCTTTAAACTTCGTTCGTTTTTAATCCCTCATTTAATGGCGCCATAAACACGAATTCGTTATCGAAAACTTTATTTTTCCACTCCAATTGTACGTGTTTCGTGTAGCAATCCGCTAATGAATATTTTCCTATGTTTTAACGTGTTCATATTATAAATCTTGCAACTTCATATTTACGACGATTGAGCGAAATGTCATCTAATAATTGGTTAGGCGCTGACGGAGCTGGTTGGAAATAACGCCTTTTCTTTTAAATATTGCCAACTGTGAGGATCTTTTATCTGCGTCTAAAAATAATTACTCTAAGCTTACTTCGAAATATTGAGTTCATTTTTGTAGCTCATGGATACATCAAACCTTTCCGTACACTCACCATCTAAACAGTCAATGCTCTGTGTCCCTAGTTTTTATTTATGGTTTTTGTAATGTGTTTCCCTTTTTGCAAATAAACTGCACTCACTTGAATGTCGACGAGGGTGGCGCGAGAGTGGTGGCTGAGGCGGCACACGAGATCGCCGGTGTCGTTGTAGTCGTAGGAGTGGCAGCGGTACGGAGAAGTGAGGCAGAGCTCGCGGCAGTCGTCGGCGCTACCAACGTCTTGGTACACGGAGTCCACCGTCTTCAGAATGCGGCCGGGCAGCTTCTTGAACTCGCACAGCTTCACGGGCTCCTCCACGCAGTTGTTTTCGAGGTAGTCGTACTCCGGAGCGGCCTCGAACGCGCCCGATCCAGCCACCGTCAGGCGGTCCATGTCGGACAGCTCGCAGTCGCCAGTCACGTTGTTGTAGTTGGCAGACCTGGTAACAATAGAGACATGGGTTAGGAAGTTGGCAAAGAATATCGAATAATAGCTGCATGGAAATGTATTGGGTCCAATGTGTTATTTTTTTGTGTGGTGGTTATCGTTTTCTTGCGGAGCGAGCTATAATTTCGTTACGCTGATGATTGTAATAAGATTTCCACCTTCAGTTCTTTTTTGCTTTAATGTGCAGACTATTCTAAGCAGATATTACAAGTAAGTAATGAAAGCTGTAAATTTTGAAAGTGTTTGTGTGAAGGGGAATGTCGTTATGTACCACGTAATAATGTCAATTGACTGTGGAACGGCTCGAATACATGTCATCATGTCCCTTTCTCTCTCGTGTCGATTCACTTCGCTCGTCAGAATAAACGACTCTGGACGCCGGGGTCGATATGCTGACGTGATGTCAGCCAGCCTCAGAGAATATCCTCTTCATTAACAAAGTTACGCACCAGCTCACCCGAACTTGCTACAGAGTTACGATTAGGCAGCGTTGGGCACACTCCATCTGCATAATATTTGTCGGATTATCCAACACTTCCTTAAAGTCAGTTAATTGCTGGTTTCTGCTAATTGAGTCATTCTTCCAACCCCCTACATCTCAGACCCAACGACTTAAGATTGCCTCCTGTTTTAAATGTTGCCCCTTTGCCGGTCGGCGTTTCTATTTAACTTTTTTTTTGTCACCTGGTCGCGGATGTGGCCTGAATCGTGTGCCGGCACGTTGGGAGTAAATTTTACCCCGGCGGAGTCCGCTGGATATTGCATTGGGGAGGGCGGGCGCGCTGGAGCCGGGCGCGTGTGCGCGGGGGGAAGGGTAATCTGCGACTCTGCAGCGACGTGCGAGCTTTGCGCCGCTGCATTAATTGATTGCTGAACCCCGTCCGGGACGGGGCGGTCCCATGGCGCTTGATGGGGAGGCCCAGCGGGTTGCGCCCGCATGGAATTCACTTCCGGTGGATTGTTAACGCTGTTGCCGCCTGCGCGTGTTCACGCGTGTGATTTTCCAAACACGTTGAAATGGGTAAAGCTCCACACAGCATGCGTGTCGCCGCGTTTCAATGAAAAAATGAAACGACATGCGTGACATTTTTTACTCAAGGAATATACGTAAGTAACCGTTTGTATATGATTTTAGAAAACAATTTGTGAACGTGTTTATTTGGTTATGGGTGAGGTATAGCTATTTATGTAAACGGCTGTCTATTCTGAAAAATTCACATTTAAGGTAAGTTTTATGCAAAAGGTTTTTCTTATTTCTACTCATGATGCCTGAATTTTCTTAGAGAATTTGTAGAGTTTAATGGACATTTTGGAATGAAATTATTTCATTTTTTTCATTTGTTACTATTTCTACACGTTAGCGGTTTTTGGTGAAGGTTTTTCAAAGTAATTCATTAAGCAACATTTCCCCTGAACCATAAGTCATAAACGTACATTTTTATCTAAGATAAAACCATAGTCCTACGGAGGAGATGTGATAACACACCAAAGCCTTTCTTCTTGGAAGGCGTGCGTGCAGGGTGACGCTGCAGGAAGTGTCGCTGTTCTCGCGGTGGGAATAATACCCAATTATTGCTGGAGGAAGGGAACTCCTACTGCGAGTTCATCCACTATGACCCTCCTTCATTGCGGAGAGAACGCAAGCACCGTTGGGATGTTCCTTCGGCCCTTAGTGAAGGCGTTTTGCTGCCACCCCGCCTTGCTCAGACACTCTTCTGTCTTCTTTGCGGAACACAGCAAATGACGATGATAAGTAGAAGGGTCGACGTACGATAAAGTACTTAACAGGGCGTTTCCGTATCGAGTGATCGTTGTCCGAGGACGCTGTAGATAAAAGAAATTTCAAGGTAGCGATACAGAAAGCGAACATGCCGTGGTTGGGACATGTGTAAGACCGGGATCATTTGCTGCTTTGCCGGTTAAACTGGCACACCCCTCGCCTTGGAACATCCACTCAATCATCTTCCCATTCAGCATTATTTCTTCCACCCACATGGCTCTCTCTAGAATCCATGTGTTACCATTGTCCACGACCACTTCAGACGCCTGCTAGCCCTCGAATGCGCCCCCGCCATCCGCTACTTCTTTCCCGCTCCACGACTGCCCCACCCATTCCGCCGCCGCACTTCTTCCTCTCCCTTTTTCTTTCCGCGGCCCTCTCCGGTGCAGTGACCGCGAGCTCCGCGACCTTCCCGCTACCTTCACCGCCTTCCCTCCCGCGCGGCGCCTACTTAGCGATGCGTGCTCCGGCGCGCCCGCCCCGCCTCCCTCCCTCCCCGCCCCGCTTCCGCGCGGCCCACCCACTCACCCACTCGGTCGCCCTTCACAGCTCCATCGCCCGCCCCGTCCGTCGCCCCGCCCGCTCTATGCCCCCTCTGCCGCCCGCTCCACCGTCCCGCCCACTCCCCTCCGCCCGCTCCACCTCGCCCGCTCCCCCGCTCTGCTGCCCGTTCGCCCTCGCCCGCACCGCCGCCCGCTCCACCGTCCGCCCGCCCCGCCCAGCCCCGTTCCGCCCAGCCCGCTCCGCCCAGCCCGCATCCACCAGCCCTCTCCGCCCAGCCCTCTCCGCCAGCCCTCTCCGCCCAGCCTCTCCGCCCAGCCCTTCCGCCCAGCCCTCTCCGCCCAGCGCGCTCTCCGCCCCAGCCCGCTCCCGCCCAGCCCGCTCCGCCCAGCCCGCTCCGCCCAGTCCCGCTCCGCCCAGCCCGCTCCGCCCAGCCCTCTCCGCCCAGCCCTCTCCGCCCAGCCCGCTCCGCCCATCCCGCTCCGCCCAGCCCGCTCCGCCTCGCGCGCTTTCCCCGCTTCCCCCACTCTGCCGCCCGCCCCCGTGTCCCTTCCGCTCGCCCCCGCCCGCTCTGCCGCTTCTACCCGCGGCAGCCGCGTGGCACAGCGCGGCGTCTAGCAGAGCCCGCTTCCGTTTACCTGGCGCGAGAGGCGGTAATTGAATGAGACAATCCCCTAATGAGCAATTACACGACGCGCTCTAATGAATATTGTGGAAACGCCGTTGGCATGATGAAGAGCTTCTTGCAGGCAGATTTTCGTGTTTCGGCGTCCCGTCTTGCGCTTCTTTTTCTTCTCTCGCAGCTGTGTGTATCGTCGCGCCGAGGTAATTAGCGCGGATTTCACAATGGTGTGAACGCGACCCTGATAAAATGAATGGGGCTTGTTAGGAAGGGAATTTTGAAGAGGTCCGCTCCGGCGCTGTTAATGCGCGTACCGTCGGGCGGTGTGCGAACGGCTATAAATTGCCTTCTTGCGCCGGGGAAGTGTGGGAAGCTTCGACCGGAACACGGAAGAGAAGTCGTCGCGTTATCGTCGCCTGTAATTCCCCGTGCGACACTCGGCGCGTTGCAGCCTCCCCTTTCAAGTTCAGGTGACAATGCCCGTACTTGCAGTCTTTTGTGCGGGTCTGCCTTGTTCGTAGCCGTTAAAGCTTTAGCTTCTTCTACTGCTGGAAACCGATTTAGGTGGGGACTGTATTAGTTTCCTTCATTGTTTTCTTCTCGGTTTATAATATTAGTATTTGTCATACTAACATTGTCTAAACGTTGCCATCAATCAGTTCAAAATTTTCTGGTATTGTGTTATACATTTTCAATTCAATTATTCATTTCTAGTGATTTTTTTAAAATGCATAGATCCAGTTGCATCAATTGTAGTCAAATGAGCAATAATTCCCACTTGTTCGTCTACTACCGATACTGCAGCTCATCTAGTCCGAAGAGCCGCATATTAATTTTGAGCGACATTGCGTATTGTGCTGTTTCTAACGACTGTATTGCGTCCGAGCTGACGTAGCGGAGAACGCAACTCATTAACGATCGGCCTGCTCCCTCGTGTGAGATGGAAAGTGCGCGTTCCGAAACGCGGGAAACAAGCACGGCGCGCCCAGTGGATATGTCAGCCTTGCGGTTGTTTGTCACCGTTACAGCCCGACGCGCACTTTTTATTGCTTCGCGCTCCTTACGTCGTGTCTTCGAATTTAACAGGTGGCTCTCTGTCCTCTGCGAAATAGGAATCTATTTTCCTTGAACCTTTTTTCGGGACCGAAATTCAATTCATTTTCCTTGTGGTTTTGCTGTCCTTTTGGGTTTTGTTGTTTATCATGATGGATGCCTTTAAAACAACGATTCCCGACGGGTCATTTTTTTTATCTTCGCGGCGATGGAGAGGAGTGGGAGGGTGATGAAAGGAGAGACGCGCTGTCATTGAACCGTCGGGATTGATCGCCGGAGCACGCGGGAGGCGGAGCGGAAGTGGCGGCGGCGGCGGCGGCGTCCACGGCGGCCGCAGTCACGTCGCCCTCTCACGACACGTCCAAGAACGCGCCGGAGAGAGCAGCGGTGCTCTACGCTCGATTTTCCGCGCCACGCTCCGCGCGCCGGCACGCGGGCTCGCTCATATAAGGCCCCCGTGGAAGCTGTGGAATGCGACGCGACGCGACGCGACGCGACTCGGGTTTTTGCTCCCGAGTCGTTCTTCCGCGCGGCGCTTTTGTTGATCGTGCGTTTGGAATTTAAAAAAGAAATGTGATTGGTTGTTAGGACCTGAGCAATGAAATGACTTTGTAGATGAATGTCTTGAATTTAAATTCATGTGCACAATATGTGTGTTCTTATTTTCCGCAGCTGAATCATTGGTGTTCGTTTTTTATATTACACATAAATTTCTAAAAAGATAAGAATAAGGCAGTATTACCAGCTGCGCCGTAAAATATAGTAATTTCTTTGCTGATAAATACTTTTCGTTTTGTTTTGTTTGTTCAAAATGCCTTCGATCATTCTCAGGAAAGCGCTCGAACAGTATAATGTCTGGCGCAAAATCGTTTGAATTGTATGTGATGACGCACTCTGAATATGGAGAAAAGACGACGTAGATATTTGTTTATGAGACACTCCCTTTAAATAGTCGAAAATGAGCTATATTGGCCCATCGCCTGGCAGCGTTTCTCACATGCGTGTGTGAATTTCGTATGAGATTCCTATTTTCATA